TGGGCAGGAGCAGTGGTCGCACTCCGAGCGGCCCCGCTTGTTCCCGCTGTAGTACAACCAGCCCATCAGTAGCGCCTCTGAAGTCGGAGATCTCCAAAGACTTGTCAGACATCAAAAAACAAAAAAAGGCGGCCTCCGAGGCGGGGGGGTGCGGCCCAAGGAATGAGAAGTCCACACAGAAAGGGGGTTGGCATTTTAAAAACAAGATCGGAAAGGAGGCGGGAGGGAGGAACGGGGGTCAGGGAGTCAAGCGGCCCGGATCAGAGCGAGGCGGCGATTTATTTCCGGCCGCACACTGCGCACCTTTGAGGCGGTGTTGTCTCAACACCGGCCCCATCTCCCTCGCTTTCTCCTTCCCTCCCCCTGCCTCTTTGTACAGAAAATGAAGAAAGCTGCTGCAGGCTAGTGGCAGAACACTGCTGAGCCTGGCTGCCTGAAGCCGACCTATCGAGGGAAAAGGGAGCATCTCCAAATCGAGTGCAGAATACAAAGAGGCCGGGACGCCTGCCAAAGCGGCGACAGCGCGCCCCCGCGGCCGGGCCTCTCCCGTCGCCTCGCAGCCACCCCCCGCCCCGTCGCCCTCCTCCTGTCTCGCTCTGCTCTGCCCCTTCCCGTGGGGTGGGGAGCAGAAAGCCACTCGCAAACGCCGGCCTCTCCCCCGGACCAGGAGACGGCCGGCCACCCAGTCACGGACAGCAGGACCCCGAGTCGAAGGCCTTCTCGTCCAGTGCAGCTCCTGAGCAAAGTGCTGCTGGATGCAGACAGTCAGCTTGCACACCCCAGGACAAAATCATCTAATTCACGAGCTTACGTGACGGCATTTTGCTTTGTTAGCACATGTATCCCCCCTGCCCCCCGTCAAAAACAAAAACACGTTACCAATACTTGTATTTGTGGGGGGGGTGCCGACGGTCCCCAGAAAATCCACTTTAATCTGCTAATTTTAAGACGGGGCAAGTCTGCCCTTCTGTGTGGAGAACTTTCAGAGAAGAGCTGCCGTTTGCGCACTCACGCAGCATGGGATGGCTTTCTAAATGTGACATAACCAAGACCAACTGGATTCCCCAAAGCTGGCACGAGGGGCTCGTCAACACCTGCCGGACGCTGGGTGCGCTCTTCCCCCTCCCTGAAGAAGGCTGCCCTTGCAACCTGGATCCCAGGCTGTGGTAAGCAGCACAGAGCTCAAAGGGGAATGTCTGTGGGGAAGTTCTTTTGAGCACAGGGAGCCACGAGCTGGCAGCTGCTTTAGGAAGCATGGAAGCCAAGGGGGAAGGTCCCGAAAAGTCAGTCACAGGAAGAAGCTGCCCATGGGCTCCTCACTTCCAAACTTCATGCATTCAGCATTGGATAGGCACAGACACAACAGCAGATAGGAAGCCAAGTTCTGGGGCTGGAAATCGATAACACAGAACAGCTGCCTTCTAGGGCTTCAGGGGTCGGGAGAAGAAATGGCCAAATAGAGAGATAAATGGATTACTGAAATGACAGCCGTGCAGTCAACACAAGAAGCAGAATGTCTCAGGAATGTGGTTTTCCTTGCATGAGGGGGCAGAGATTCCTCTAAGTACATTCATTCATTCAAATGTTTATTAAGCAACTAATGCGTGCACTGTTCTAGTCTCTGGATACCAAAGTTAACAGACCAAACCCCCTCCCCTCAGAGGGCTTCCATCCTGGTGGGAACACAATGAGCCCATCATGCTGGAGAGAAGCATGGATCCTTATCTAGTGTTTCCAGAAAGGGCCTGCTTTGGTTTCTTCCTCACAGAGAACTTCCCCTTTGGCATTCAGAAAACCTAAAGGTCTAAAAATAGGCCACCCTGAGCCTTGGAACACATCACTCTGCTCACATCGCCACCCGAAGAACCACACGTGACGCTCCTCGTCCAGTTCTCTCCTCCTCTTCTTTCCCGTAGGGGACTACAGGTCCTGCCTCTCTCCGCCTTCCCTGAACGTCCCTCCTTTCCCTCCCTCTTCTTTCGGACTCAGCATGGCAGAAAACAGCGACTCCCTCCCTCTCCAGACTATACTCACCGGGAAGTGAGGTAGAGACACTTGGCCATTGGCCTTCACGCTGCGATGCATTTCTCTCTGGAGCTGCTTCTTGCTCCCCACGCGATAAGGAGGGATTCCATCTCTAGGGGAAAGGGAAGGACAGCATCCACAGGCTTACAAAGATGCTTTCAGCACACGGGCTGACTCACAATGTCATCTCGAGATTCTGCGAACGGACAGGGCCACACGCTTCTGTGGAGGTGTGTCACTTGTTTCTGGATGCCATCACATTCCCACCGGGAAGGATCCATCCAAGATCAACTTGCCAAACCAGCTTTAAAGCCTGCCCTTCAATCTTCTCTGGAAGCATAGGTCTTTCTTAGATGCAGGAGCGTCGTCTTGGAAAGAGCTTGGTAAGCTCTCATCTCTCAAGCTGCTGTCTCAGACCTGGGTTATGCTCCAGCCAGCCCAGTCAGCGTGAAGGCTGCCCAATTTTTCAGGTGCCCCAAGCAGGAGACTCTTAGACCCCTTTGGTCCTCCCCAGTAGTCTACTATCACTACAGTCTACTACCCCAAACCAGGACAGCAGTGCCTTGCAAAAAGTGCCATGCACAAAGTTGGAGGGATAGGGGTCAGACCCACAGAGGGCTACATCAGGCACTAGTGAGGTCCGTGTCATTCTCCAGTAATTAACTTCTTGATCGTTTCCACATTTATTATTTTTAGAAATGACCACAGGGTGCTTTATAAAAAGAGTACATAACAAATCCTTCGGCTCCTTCCTTCTCTCAGCTACAAGCTCCGGCAGCTCCAGCCAATGAATTCTCAAAGACGCATGAATGCGGGCATAAAGAGAACAGCCCAACTAGGGGGTGTTCTGTGTAATTTGCTTAAATATTTGAGCACCTACTGGACCTTGTTCTAGGCACTGGGCCAGAGAGCGATAGACAAAGCAGATGAAGAATTCAAACAACTGTCCTCAGGAAGTTTATATTCTAATGAGGTAGCACAAGCAAAGAACCAAAATTACAAAACAAAGTGTATGATGTATCAGAAGATGCTATGATGAAACACACAGCAGGAGAAGGCGGGGCAAGTGCCTGGGGAGACAGGGAGGCTGCAAAGTCCAGTGGAGGGGAGGGCCGGCCGTGAAGCTCTCCTTGAGAAGGCCTAAAGGAGGCACGGGCCTTATGCCCTTTAACGTCACACTGTTAAAAAGCAAGACCCTTAACAAGTGGAAGCACTTTTAGGAAGAAAGCCCCCACCCCAGCTAGCGTTCGCTTCCAACCTGACCTGGAGTTGCCACCGTTTTTTTCAAAAAGGTATTTTCTCCTTAAGAGCAGAACGGTCAAGGTGTGACCATTTCCCCACTGATGTCCCTTTCGGAGGCCACTTATTTACAAAAGTCTCAGCGTGCAAACATTTCCTCAGGGTGAATCATACTTCGTTTTGAGACTGTAAATATTTAAATGAGTTTGGTTTCTCAGAGGGTGGAAGAAAGAAAAACATCTCAGGCTCATCAGCAGCAAGTGAAAATGAGTAGTGCCTAAAAATACCCAGGGAGCAGCCAGGAGTAACTGGCCAACCTTTAGCTCCCTATCTGTGCCGTCCCGGAATTCCAAGTAGCTGCACTTTCAGGAAGTCTGCTGACGTAGGCCAGGGCCACCCAGGGTACAATGAAGATTTCTGTAGATCAGCAAACCAATCTATGCTAACCAGACCTTGGCTAAGGAGTGCGTAAAGGCTTAACTGCCTTGTGCCAAGCAGAGAGGAGAGGAGAGATCAGTATCTTATCCCTAAGTGTGCGTCCTGCCCAGACAGAGCTAAGTGTGGAGCAGACTGAGAGCTCTGTGGGCCGGGTTAGCAGCCACCTGTCCACAGCCTGTCAGGAAACAAGTCTCTAGCTGGGCGCGGTGGCTCACACCTATAATCCCAGCACTTCGGGAGTCCAAGGTGAGAGGATCGCCTGAGCCCGTGGGTTCGAGACCAGCCTGGGCAGCCTGGTGAGACCTTGTCTCTACGATAAACCAAATAAACCAAATAAAAAGTCACAAAATTAGCCGGGCATGGTGGCACATGCCTGTAGTTCCAGCTACTTGGAAGGCTGAGGTGGAAGGACTGCCTGAGCCCAGCAGGTTGGGCACTCCACTGCCCTCCAGCCTGGGTGAGAGTGAGACTCCAACTCAAAAAAAAGTCTCCTGCTCACGAGGCCCAGCCCTTGTAAGTGGAGTAGGACAAAAGTTCTAGGTCCTTGCCCTTCCGGAGCCACCTAAAGATTGTTTACCAAAGCTCAGCGTCTTTGCCGCGTTTCAGCAAACACAGGCAAAAACCGGATGTTCACAGGCATGCCTGACTCGGCCAGCAACCAGCTCCCAGCCGAGGCGACAGATTCCAACCTGAGACTGTCGGGTCCGCAAACTGAGTCCTACTGTGGGTCAGAGAGCTGATGCATAACCAGGCTTCACTCTCACAAGAACCTTAATCACCTAAATGTTACAGATGACCAGAGACGCTCAAGGACACACCTGGCATTACAATGAGCATGAGTTCCAAGATCCAAGTCCAAGGCGCTGCTGGACTCCGGGACCTACCCTTGAGGTCCTCTTTTCAAGACTCCCCTCCCAGCCCCAGCAGGAGGAGTCAAGCTTCCCGAGGGTCTGAATGTGGAGGTCGCCTGACTTTTGGAGGGGTCGAGTGGAAATTTGCAGCACATTCTGGAAGTGCTCCCCTACCTCTCAACACTCACTGGACATGGGGCATGCCAGGTCGTTCCCAAGGCATGTGGAATGGCCTCATTTCTCCCGGAAGATCCCTGGTAGGATGGGGGTTCCACAGACGGGGTCTCACACTGGTCTAACCAAGTCCTGCCCCAGGTTCACAGACAATGTCCATGCCCCTCTCCTGACCAGCTCCTCTTCTGGGGACCAGTAAGAGCGAATGACTGCTCCAGGCCTCCTCCAGACGGCCTCGGGGGTGGGCGTCAAGCATCCCATGGACCCTACCACGACACAAGTAGCACGAGGCTTCAGGAGTTCCCATCCCTCCCCTCCCAACTCTGAAGTTTCCACTAGGAATAGCCTTTGCGCCTTTCTTTCTTTCCTCCCGCCTGGACATCCCTGGCAAAGCTTTTATACCTCTTTTTCTTTCTCCATATAAGGCAGGGATGGGGTGGTGGGTAGGGATGGGGTGGTGGGTAGGGATGGGGTGGGGGTAGGGATGGGGTGGTTCTGGGAAGCAGGTCACTGACAGACTGATGGCAAAAGGAACACGTTGCTTCATCAGCACCTCACTCCACACACTTCCCACTCTAGCCAGGGCAGGTGAAGGCCCAGGCTGCAGGGAAGGCCACTTGTGACCAGAGCAGAAAAAGGAGATCTCAGCTTAGAGAGGCTCAGGGAGGCTTAACAGATGTCTTCAAGGAAATGGGGCTTTAATTCCCCCCAGCCAAGACTCTTCTTCCAACACAGCTCCTCATTCCAAAAGGGGGCCTCTCCTCTTTTATTCAAGCTCTACAAGAATACGAACCATTTCCTGGCTGCTCAAGCCTGTGGGCTGGAGAGCGCCGGAGTTTTGGTCCCTGTTCAGTCTCCTTTAATTATAAACATTTTAGCTAACGAGCCCGCTGCCGGGGCCCAGCTGTTTCTGGGGAGCACAGGTTTTGAAGTGCGGACTCCACTTAGCTGCCATTTGAGCCGAGCCAATTAGCTTAGCCTTTTGACTCTGCCGTGCCGACCTAACCTGAATGTCGTTTTCCAGCGGCTTTGAGAGAGCAGACTCATGCACACATGCGTCCACTTGCATCTTCATTTGGCAGCTGCTCTGAAGGCAGCGCTGATCACAGCCAACATCAAAAGCCTGGTTTGTAAGAGAAGGTAATATTTGAAGTTCACTTGGATGCATTTCCTGGTGTCCAAAGTAAACTGCCATAAATAAGATATAAAGAAAAATAAAGGAAGAAAATAACTTGTGCCCCCCCCCCACCTCCCGTGTGGAACACGAGGAAGTCATCTGAGCTGATGTGGGGACACTCAGAGCAGAAGCAGCCTGGGAGTACAGCTGATCCTGATTGAGAGAGCGGCTCCTCGCCAGAAGACAAGTCAGAAGCCTCCACGCCACAGCCCGAGCTTTCACGATTCCTGGCAACCCGTGGCCACGAGGTTACACACTTGGGCAGCACAGAGCCTGCTGCGACTTCGATGTTTCCATCCCCTTCACTCCATGCTCCTAAGCCTGACGCCCTGGAGCGGCCTCACAATCCTGCCTCTGATGATCCGAGGACTGGAGTTGAGGATTTTGCTGAGGTTCTAGCAATTAAAAAAAAAAAAATTGCTGGGTGCAGGGGCTCACGCCTGTAATCCAGCACTTCGGGAAACAGAGACGAGAGGACTGCCTGAGCTCAGGGGCTCGGGACTACACTGAGCAACATGGCAAGACCTCGTCTCTACAATAAATCAAAACACTGGCCAGGTGTGGTGGTGCATGCCTGTGGTTCCAGCTACTTGGAAGGCTGAGGCGGAAGGGTTGTCTGAGCCCAGCAGGTCAAGACTGTGGTAGCCGTGAGCATGCCACCAAATTCCAGCCTGAGTGACAGAGTGAGACTGACTCCAGAAAAAAAATCTTTGTTTGCCATTTCTTCTGAGAATGCAGGTTTCTGAAAACAGGCCCGTCAGACAGCCTTCTCAGAGGCCTCTGATGGAGCCCCCAGTCCCCAGCCATCTTAAACAGGGCTTTTTACTCAGTAGGAACACAGAAGTCAGCAGCGGGCTTTGGGAGAATGCAGGGATTTCCTTAAAGGTCTACCTGCTCGGCACATCCAGGCTCCAGTGTGCGGCAACTGGGAATGGCCAACTGCGGGCCAGCTCTGCCCCAGCTTCTAGCCAGTCTCTCGCACAGGCCCCGGGGACTTAATTGGCTCTGTCCAAATGAGACGATTGCTTCCCTGGGCTTGTGTCTAATGAACTCCAACCTTCTGGTGTCTACTGAAGGCCGCCTGTGACCCCCTCTCTTTCCCCCTCCCCTCCCCAGCCC